GTCTTTTCTTAATATTAGTATTTTAATGGTACCTACTCTTTAACTTGAATAAAATTAGAAACCACCTACGCCAAAATATTATTATGTACTTTGACTTTTTCGTTTGTAGAAATTTCATAAGTTACATTGAAATAAAATATTTTCGAATAATAAATACACCTTAAATAATTTCATACGTTGTAAAATATAATTAATCAGTTAAACTTTAAATGGTGATTCATTACTGTGTCGCCACTGGCATGAATCTAAATAGAGAAAAAATGTACTAGGACTCATCAATTCAACGTTGCAATGAATCCAGTTGGTTTGAGTGCTGATGTTCCTATAACAGCAGTGTCAAAATCGTTATAGCCCGATCAGTGGATTCGCTATATTTTAGTTCTAGCAGCACCTCACATTACAAAAATATCGTAAATTCATCAGCCAATTTTGAACTCTATCTGCAATGCGCTATTGATTGAAATCAAATGAAAATATTTGCAAGTTTTCTTTTAACTTGACGTATTTGCTGTAACCTACATTGCTAGTTACCATTAGTATTTATGATAACGATGCTTTAACTGGCGACTTAGTCGAAGAAGTCAAAGATTCTTCATAGTCAGATTATATCAATCCTTTTGTAAACAAATTCTTTAAACATTAATTAGATTGCATTTATTGTATTTTCTGAATAACGTTTTATCCCAAGCGAATCAAACAATTAAAATAATAACACAAAACAATTACAATAATAATGCTACGACGTTTCAATGAAATGTGAAATCTAAACAATGAAAAACTCAATGTTCTATGTAAATGAAGCAGCACAATGACTTACGCCCCAGAATGCATCTGTCGGCTGTATGTATGCAGATATCAAAATCTTAATTTGAATTTGGAATAAGTACAAGATGGCGCCCGCATTGAATCCGGTAGGAGTGGATGCGAGCGAAATTAGATGACGCCGACTTTTAGATAAATCTGTGCTACTTCCGACAGTAAAGTGCAATTATAACAAAGTCTTATCTATATATCTTATAGTGATTTGTTTGTTTATTCACATGGAACAGATTTCGAAGCTACAGGGCCGATTTTAAAAATACTACACTTAAGTGAAGTCACATCACACACGTGTGACATTAGTGTAATTTATGTGGATGAAATAACGGGAAATCAGCTAGTATATATAGTAAACATAATATTAACTAATGTAAAGATATTTCTATAACAGAATTCACACCAGAAGACGTGTGTATTTACAATATACATAAAATGCCTACATAAAAAAAGTCAAAAAATTTCGAAATAAATTCAAAAAGCTTCCAAAATCCATTAAACAAACCAGGAACAAAGTTGAAAAATTGATTAAAGCGCAGCGACCGCTTGCGGGAGACGTCGGTAGTTCGCTACGGAAACGTCAAAGTTTTAGAAGGGGGGCCACGGGTGGGTGGGGGGGGGCAAAAATGAACGCGAAGACGGATCGGCGAAGTTTAAATTTGGAATTCGAAATTCCACGACGTTAAGTGCTAGATGGGCTCTTTGTTACCCGTAGCGCTAATTTACTTTTAAAATTTCACTTTTAGAATAATACAAAAAGGAAAGTAGGTATTATTAAATCTACAAAAAATAATAGCAATCTCTTTGAAATTTGAAAACTAACGAAATATGAAATTAGAACAGTTGAAAAATTTATTACCTACCTTTAGACTATAATAGTAATGTATTAACTTATATACATCTACTGTTTAATAAATAGTTCCACTTTCAAAACAAAAGCGTTCCATTATCCAAATTCAAATAATACTGCGCTATTTCGCAAAAATTGAACCGCATAAATCCATACCCCGAAAAACGGTCTGAAAGAGTTTTCCGAAGGCAATTCTCGCAATTTTACTGTCCAAACTAAAACTATCCGGTCCCGAAAGGCTAAAAAAGGTCCACCTAACCAAACAGCGACCCTTATAAAGTGCCCTCCCGAAACTGAGCTAAAAACACCCAAAAAGGCAGTAAAACTAAAGGAATTAGGGCCGCGCCAACTACTTTTCAAAACACTTTTGAACCCCCGCTGAAATATATGAATCCCAATTTATATTTTCTGGTTCGGGTCGGTAAGGGTCGGACTCAATTTGAAGTTAAAATTTTACAATAATTTATCTAGGATAGTAAAAATTTTATACGAATTTTCGAATATTACTATTTCATATATACTTAAGAGGGCGATTAAAACCAAAAGACTGTTTATATCATTACTGGATGCGAACAGTTTTAAGGTAAAAACTCGCGAACTATTATAATATTTGCAAAACATAAAAAAATCTTAATAACAAAAGGTAATGAAAAAAATCAAAATTTTATGGGTAACTTTGTAATTGATTAAAACGTGGTTTTCCTCATTTGTAATAATAGCTCATTTTGTCGTTATTTCTTTCTACAAGCAGTTGAAAGATACTGATTATGAGTATACATACGCGCCTATTTCATTATTTAATAGAAAAGATCTTTTAAAATACATACCGATTCGGCGTAAATTTGCAATTCCATTCCACTTAAACTGTTTCTTAACCTACGTATAATGCAGAGGATTAACGTTCTTATTTAAAAAGATAATTTTCAAAAAATTACACTTTAAACAAACAATAGACTTTATCATATGATATTAATGCAAATTTATTAAGCAATAAAGTTGTTTAAAAATAGGTTCGTATTCACTGTTATGTAAATTTCATAATTGTATTATACTTAAGTCTCTCTCACGGTCTAAGATTTTACCCTATAGTATCTTATCGAATTGTACTTAAATTACCTTAATACGTGTCTGTAAAATACATGATAGAAGACCCTTAGGCTGTAGGAAGTCCGTGTCATTTACGTTACCTCAAATGAATAGATCCAAACGTTCTAGTTATTTTCACAGGCTATGCAAATTATAGTTTAGTTTTACTTACCTTAAGAGCTGGCCTTTTGTATTATACATAATAGTGTTAATCATGGCCTCAGTATTATCTATTATAGCTCGAAATTGCGATGAGAGTTTCGGGGTTAACACATAATTTTTAATACCTTTAACTTCAAATAAATCTAAATTATGTAGTGTTATTTATATGTTTTACGAATAAATAGTAGCATATTCGTATATTTTATTGCATATAACATCTACTAAGTTTTATTAGTAACGAAGTATTTATAATTTAAATTCCTTTGCCTCTAAAGCGAAACAAGCCGAAATCATTCAGCTTTGTCTATTCCTTTTTCGAAACAACGGCGGGAGAAAATACGATAGCAATTACTCGCCTTTCGTATCGCGAAATTTATAGCCTCCCCAAGAAAACGGTACTCTTATCGCGGGAACTATAGAAATTAGCTGTCGAATTAATATCCTACAATTAAATTTCCTTTTGCGTAAGGGGCGAAGGAAGGGAATGTGGGGAACTCTGTAGGAACAAGTATCTCATTTGCCTTTACTTTTGATGCTGTAAATTTTATTAATTGTGTTTTTACTTTTTTTCTTTTTGCTCCCCTAATCAAAGATCATTGTGCCAATGAGCTCAATAAATCGTATATTGGTGGTGTTTTTTATTGTCTTGCTACAATTGTATATAGATAATATTTTAATGACAATACCTGAAACAAAATATTTCTTTGTTCTAAACCTTTTTACGAAAATTGTGAAAACGAATACAGATTATGAGAAGCAATGCAGGAAGCTATTGTATTTTTTATGATAGTGCTTAAAAATATATTAAGAAAAATACAGAAAATGTTATCGTTCAAAAGTATTATTAACATTATTAAAAAGTATATCATGTAAATAGTGTCTGATTGGTTTTAGGCAGATTCCAAAATTGTAATACAATTTCAAAGATTGTTTCAGTAATTGAAACACAAAATATCAATTTCAAAATGAAGCTTAGGTATGTAACTGAAAAATAAGACGAGAAAAATTTAAAGTACTTACAAAAATAAAATATAGGTTGTTTTTATGAAGGTATATTTCGTGTCTTCTTTGTGTTCAAATATCTTAAAGTTTTTTTATACGAAAATAATACATAGCAACATTCACATAAAAAAGGTTATTCTTACTTTAGTTTCCTTCATCTTAAGGATCTTCCTCAAAATACAAATCCAAGATGGCGGCTAACGAAGGGGTCTGCCATTGCCTAGTCATCATTCAGATCACGAACACCTGACAAAAGTACTGCATCTGACTCCGAACTTCAACAAATTCAATAAAGTTCAGCCGAAACTACGCTAAGGGGAATACATAATTTCTTAGTGTCTCTTTGTGCGCCAATAGGTATGCGACTGTGTAGTTAATTTTTATTTATCGATAAAATTATTATTAATAAGTGTACGAAAAATAATATTTTGTCGCTTTCTAGGAAAGAAAAATTAAAGTTTGTCAGTGGTATTAATTAATAAAGCATTGGAGTAAATTTACGCTGAGACTACACTAAGTATAAGTATTAGTCAAAATTCATATTATTAAACAGAGACTTGACAAAAGTTAATTTTTTTGACACTGAGAAATGCGTTAGGTTTTCATACTCTCCCAGCACAGAGTCGGCGGGCGGCCGAACAGCCGGTTCGCCACCACTTCAGCCCGCCCTGAATAGGACAGGTCGCTCTGCGGGTTAGGAGTATGTCTCAGAGAGTCGCAGTAAAACAAACTCCGCAGCTCGCTCCCCGCGGCAATCAGCCGCTTTGTGTCCCTCTAGATCGCATTTGAAGCAGAGGTTCAAGCAATCAACCTCAGAGTGGCAAACATATTGTGCCCATAGGGGACATGTCTTATGCCCATAGGGACAAGTCTTGTGCCCATAGGTGACATGTCTTGTACCCATACAGTTGAAGCAGCGCATGGGCAGAGATTCAAGACTCTGTATTCGACTATACGATCACCACCCTACCTTCTTGACCAAAACATTGGCAGCCACAACTGGGCACCTTAGGAGAGTCATCTTCAGACCCCCCACTCCCACGCCAATAGGTCATATGATGACCTGCTCTGAGGGTTTTCCAACCTACGCAGCCACCGCCTCTCGCAAATTTTCCACTTCAACAGAATCATCAAGCGCCGTTATACGCATATCAATGCTTTTAGCGAGTCTTGAGTTCTCCACTTCGTCTCCTAGCAACTCCCTCAATTTAAAGGTAAGCTGGTCAGCTCTCTTCCCATTATCAGCCTCCAGTACTCTCAAAATTCGAGTCCCAATTGCAGCTCTCCTCAAATTTACTCCCGGAATGCCAATCTCTGAGAGTGGGATCTCCTTCTTCGTTCTTTAGAGGACGCCCTCATACGACACTCCCTTGGCCTCCGCCTCAGAGAGAACGTTAGCATCACCGCAGCACCTTGGGTTTGTGTCTACCTCTCTTCTTGCATGTAGAAGGTTTCTGCGAGACAGAAGCTTCCGACTCCAATATCCTACCCTTTTCCATTCCCTTACGCCCAACCACCAAGTCCAAGATCTCCTCCTCTAGTACGACCGGTTTCTGGCCAACCATCCTCTTTTTCGAATCTCCTCTTCTTCTTCTTCGGAGTTGATGAACCATAGTCGGGCGCTAACTGTGGGCGTAGCCCCTACGAAGAATCGTTTGTTTCGGCTTCACTTTGGCAGCCATCGTCTTTCTTCTCAACTACCACTGCCTTTACTTGGCAGCAAAAATTTCTTCTTCTCTCTCCGACTGGAAGACGAATCAATAGGTTTCTAAACCCGAGGTAGTACTGTCTCGAGACCGATTCTCATTCCCCCTTCCCCACCAATTGTGAATCCCTCTTCACACATATAACAGCGATTCGATGATTAATGATACAAAAAGATCAAACATGTGAGAATGATTTTCCATTTAAAATTTTACAATAATGAAAGATATGTCCAATTCCGTTTACTGAATAGAATTTCATTAGTAATTTAATCAATATTATTCGTTGTTATATTATCGTTTCAACAAACGAGTATTCGTTACAGTTGCAGGGAAAGCAAATTTATATTCGTTTTTGTATACTAATCAATTATTATAGAAAAGTAAAAGAAATATACTAATAATACTAATGAGTTGGCTAATAAGTAATGAGCGTTTTAATTTTTATTTTCTAGAAACTTTGAGTAGGTTCGACAACGTTCTATGGCGGGGGGTTTATAAAGAGCGAGTCGTGACCATGCACGCCAGTAATACTTTGAATGTCGCTGCGTTATCTTCAATGGAAAAATTAATGATATTAAAACCCATGTCCGACATTGTTTGTTATATGAGTACCAATCTGGCCATTCCGCTGCAGAAGCTGCACGTAACATATGCCAATAGGTAGCTCATGATGCAGTTTCCAAGGCAACAGCAAAGCGGTAGTTCCAACGATTCCGCAGTGGAGACTATTCCTTCATAGATTATCCGAGGCTTGGGCGTCCAATAGAAACAAATATAAATAAACTAAAGACGATAATTGAAGAGGATTCTAGATACAGTACACGTGATTTGGCTGTAGAGCTTAGTTGCTCTCATAGTACAATTGAAAATCATTTGCATGCAATAGGAATATCTTACAAATTTGACGTTTGGGTACCAAGGATCAACTCGTTTACCATGCTGATATAAGTTTACATCTATTATCATTGCGTTGTAACATTTAACTTGCTAGACTAGACCATACATGCCAGCGCCAGTGGCTAGGCCGCAACGAACCAGGCAAACCTACTCCAAAAAAAGATCTTGATTCTCACAAGGTGATGCTCTCGGTATGGTGGGACGTGCATTGAGTAACATACTGGGAAATTATTCCTACCAATACCACGATCACAGCGAACGTGTACTATAATCAATTCGATAATCTGAAGCTTGAACTTCATCGTAAGCGTCCACATCATGACAAAATGTTTTTCCACCATGATAATGCCCGACCGCATATTGCTAAGAGTACCCGACAGAAACTATTGTAGCTGAACTGGGAAATAGTTCCACATTTTCCGTATTCACCGGACTTAACACTAACCGATTTTAGTTTATTTCGGTCACTTAGTAATCATTTGCGTGAAAAAGTTTTCATGATGAACCCCAGTTACAACAGCACATAGATGAATTTTTCAAATCCAAACCGGCAAAATTTTACAGAGACGCAATCCAATCTTTGCCTAATCGCTGACGTACAGTGGTAGATAACGACAGTGACAATATTGTGAATGATTAGGTATTATATCATAAATAAATAAAAATTTAAGTTACGCGTGTCGCTCATTATTTATTAGCCAAACTAATATTATTATCTATTCGATAACCACGACGTATATACGAGAAATATCGATAAAAACGAAATCTATCGACATCATCTCATCTCAGATTCCCCGCTCCGATGGCGTTACTATTTAAATCTAGTTACAAGTTCTGAATGTATTTTGTTAATTTCAACTAAGTTGGGACATGAAAATTCCACTCAAAACAGGTGCGGCCAACTTGGGCCTTACGACTCTTTCATTAGAACTATTTTGGCTAAGAGCGTAGAAGTAAAATATAAATACACAAATCTTTATACAAAGGGGAGGCAAATAAAAATTTGTTAATAAGGTATGGCCTAATAAGGCCCGCTAGTTATTTACCGCTAGAGTGCTAAAACCTCAACTATTTTAATTACATTTTCTGTCATTACTGTATTTAAATCTACTTACGAGTATAAGAGAGTCTAAGAGACTGTCTCGTTGTCTAAGAGACTACATAATACGGTTTTAGCTACTCATAGGCATCTAAGTAATATAATGAGTATTAAATATTATAATTAATATAAGTGATTTTATTTTGAAAACCACAAAATCGCTTATTGTGTTATAAACATAATACAGATTATAGCATTGTAGCATATGCTAAATGCATTTCTTACTAACATTTCAAAATAACACTATCATATTAACAACGCTATCTTAATATCAACAAAACTATAGATATTCCTAATGAAAAATACTTAAAAAATCTACTTTGTCAATGGCACTCTGAGATTGGTCTAGAACCCATAACCTTTCGCTATCCGGGCAACTGCTCTAACCACTGAGGTACCCAGGACCTAAGAGGACTGACGAATCTTTCAAGCATTTGTTACTTTTCGCTACTACAGAGCGCATTCTCATCAATGTTCAGGCATCCACCCAAACAGCCGAAAGAAACATTTTTATAAATATTTAATCTTAGGTGTTATACTCTAATATTTTTTTCTTAAACAATAAACAAATGAGAGTGTTTATAAGATTATAATAAACCGATAGACGAAAAAAGTTTATATATTTTCTTAATTACAATTACATGAAACGGAGTCATAAATAAAACAAAAGAAAATCCACTAACATCCCAACCGCACATTATCGACCGACTGCAAACCACATAGTTACGTTCAAAAACTCGCGACCCTTTTCAATTCGTTTAATAATACCAACTATACACACACTACGTTATAAAAACACGCACACATCGCTTGGTGGCTACCCCGCCCCGCAAAAACACCCCACGCCTTGGGGCAATTCTTCAAAGGGTGAAAAAACCCCTTTCACCCCGGCAGGCGGGACCGCCTTCAAGCAATTCTTGGGTTAAAAAAGGGGGGATACTTAGCAACGAACAAGAATAGATGCAGGATTGATTTTTAGGAGGGTTTGAATTTCGAACGCAGCTTACTTTTTTTTAATATCATTACACTCGTATTAATAATAGAAAGAGGTTTTATAAGTTTCGTTGTTATCATTCTGTTTTCGAATACGTTTTCGTAAGAAGTTTTGTTATCTTTAAATAAAAATTAAATTATTAATTCTTTTGACTGATATAATTCCCCCTTTATTATGTATTTTGAATTTAAAAATTCAAGCATTACAAATTACATGTAAAATAATAAAGACATAAGTTAATTTTCACTTTCATACTATTGTTATTCAATGGAATGAAATAGTATAAAATAATATGTGTAAATACTTAATCAGTATAAAGTGTCATCTAAATTAACAACCGACGAACAATCTATATCTTGATTCTCACAAGGTGATGCTCTCGGTATGGTGGGACGTGCATTGAGTAACATACTGGGAAATTATTCCTACCAATACCACGATCACAGCGAACGTGTACTATAATCAATTCGATAATCTGAAGCTTGAACTTCATCGTAAGCGTCCACATCATGACAAAATGTTTTTCCACCATGATAATGCCCGACCGCATATTGCTAAGAGTACCCGACAGAAACTATTGTAGCTGAACTGGGAAATAGTTCCACATTTTCCGTATTCACCGGACTTAACACTAACCGATTTTAGTTTATTTCGGTCACTTAGTAATCATTTGCGTGAAAAAGTTTTCATGATGAACCCCAGTTACAACAGCACATAGATGAATTTTTCAAATCCAAACCGGCAAAATTTTACAGAGACGCAATCCAATCTTTGCCTAATCGCTGACGTACAGTGGTAGATAACGACAGTGACAATATTGTGAATGATTAGGTATTATATCATAAATAAATAAAAATTTAAGTTACGCGTGTCGCTCATTATTTATTAGCCAAACTAATATTATTATCTATTCGATAACCACGACGTATATACGAGAAATATCGATAAAAACGAAATCTATCGACATCATCTCATCTCAGATTCCCCGCTCCGATGGCGTTACTATTTAAATCTAGTTACAAGTTCTGAATGTATTTTGTTAATTTCAACTAAGTTGGGACATGAAAATTCCACTCAAAACAGGTGCGGCCAACTTGGGCCTTACGACTCTTTCATTAGAACTATTTTGGCTAAGAGCGTAGAAGTAAAATATAAATACACAAATCTTTATACAAAGGGGAGGCAAATAAAAATTTGTTAATAAGGTATGGCCTAATAAGGCCCGCTAGTTATTTACCGCTAGAGTGCTAAAACCTCAACTATTTTAATTACATTTTCTGTCATTACTGTATTTAAATCTACTTACGAGTATAAAAGATTCAAATTACATTTTCCTAGAAGTAAAATATAAATACGCAAACGTTATACAAAGGGGAGGCAAATAAAAATTTGTTAATAAGGTATGGCCTAATAAGGCCCGCTAGTTATTTAGCGATAGAGTGCTAAAACCTCAACTATTTAAATTACATTTTCTGTCATTACTGTATTTAAATCTACTTACCAGTATAAAAGATTCAAATTACATTTTCCTGTTATTTCTGATTAATTTATGCGAGTCTATAACTGAACCTTTTAGCAATGGAAAGATCAATAACGATGAGTTTTATAGGGCGTCAGTAATTTGTTTGTTTAAATTTTAAATAACTGGAATACGGAGACTATATCTTATTTATAATATTTTCACATTTCAACACAATACAAAGACAAATAGTGACGGTCAAATAATAAGAGAAATCTTTCTCGACTATTTGTAATAGAAACAAATTACAATAATTATTTGTGAAAATGTATGTATATTTTTCATTTGTATGTGTATTCAATGTATGTATATTGTGCATTTTTGTATGTTTTTTGTGCAGGGTTAAACTGCTTTTGATTTTTTTTTCAAGAGTTAGTAATTATCATAGATTTTATAGT